CGGGAAGCTAATGCTATGTGCATCTTTGAGATCAGAAAGTGGATCCAGGGAGTTACAGGCTGAGCAGCTCAAACTCAGTCTTCGGGAAAATCACGGGATCTGACCTCTCTGAGTCTGTTTCTGAGCATGTGAAGGCAAAGGAGGTAATTAGGACCAGTGAACATGGATTTACTAAGGACAATTAATTCTCAGCCAGTTTGATTTCATAGACATTTCATCATAGAAGGTAATATGGATGAGGAAAGGGAAGAGAGCAGGAAAGGCTTTTGTAAGGTTTTTGACACCATCCCACAGCATTCTTGTTTGGAAGGAGGAAGCATGTCCTAGGCAAAAGGAATATTAGATTTGAATGTTGCATGGACCGCCTGGCTCAAAGGTATAGTAACAGGCACCGTTTGGTGGCTGGTGACAAGTGGAAGATAAGATGGAGTAGATGGAGTACATCCTCTTGGTATTTTTAGAGGATGCAAAATAAGGAGGAGTGATCAACACACCAAATGGTAGCTCTTGAGTCCAGTGGGACCTTTTGGGCCAACAGAAATCCCATGAAGGCCAACAAAAATAAAACTCAGTTTCTGGTGTGGGCTAATTACATGGTCAGTACAGGCTGGGAATTAGCTGGCTGAGTAGTTACCTTGCTGGAAGAGACCTGGGGATGCCAATGGATTACAAGTTAAATGTGAGCTAGCAGTGTCCTCTAGTTACAAACAGGCTAACTTCACACTGAGCTACATCAGGCCCAATTCAGTATATGGCCCACAGATTAAGTTCCCTCCCAGTTCTAGAGAGACGTTAAATCTGGAGAGTATCCAGTGGAGGTTAACCAAGATGGTCAGGGGCCTAGAGCACATGGCTTCAGATGAAAGCTTGAGGGAATATTGCACCTCTGATATTCCCAGTAGTGTGGAACAGCTCAGCAGGGCTCAATGGTGACAAGTTTTGACTTGGGGGTTAGATAAGAAATTCAGAAAATACTCTTTTTTGAAAGGCTTAATGCAGCCCTGGAACAGTCTGCTCAGAGGGGCAATCTCCATCCATGGAGTTTTATCAGTTACACAAAGCTAAAATAGACCTGGACTAGTGCTTGCTGCAGTCGTGCTTGGAGTAGGTGGTTGGCTTAGATGACCTCCGGAGATCCCTCCCAACCAGCATGTCTACAATTTTGTAATATTTCTTCCCTAACACAAAGTGACGTTGCATTTGTTAAAAAGTATGTAAGTTATGGACAAGAATTGAGTAGAAGTTCAGCAGACATTTGTTTCAAAGTCTTTCCCAAAAATCTGTGTGGATCTAATAGTATTGATAAGATACAACTGATGATAGTGGTTAAAAAAACCCAAACAGTAGGATTGGTAATGCTTATGCTAAATATGAGCACAAACAGTTGCAAGATAAAATTTCAGTTGACTTGAGTGCTTTAATATGCAGTATGAGCTAGAGGGAACCAATCTCAACTCTCTCTGTTCTTTTTTCCAGAAGTCTGTACAGTGGTCTCTGCCTTACATTGTGTTTGGAGCAACTGGTCTTTTGTCTGGACTCTTAAGTTTATTGTTGCCAGAGACCTTAAACAGCCCTTTGCTAGAAACTATTTCAGACCTGCAGGTGTGCTCGTACTGGAGGCTGGGTGATGAAGCCATGTCGTTGCAAGCACTAGATGGCTCACAGGTATATTCATTTTTTTTTCCTAGTGCTTCTCTGTTGTGTTTATTTCAGCTGTCAGCTTGAATATGCCACTCTAAGTAGATTACGATACTGATTCCTGGCCTGTGGAGGACAGGCCCCAAGGAGATACAGAAGATGGTTTAGTAACCTTACCATCACATCCGAAATGTCTAGAAATGCAGGCTGAAAGATAGCTGGGTTAACTCAGCCCTTCAAGGCCAAAGGTTTACGATCTTTCCCTTTGGGGTAGAGGACTCGGTGTCTGTGTCTCTCTGATCTCCAAGGTGGAGAGCTGCAGCATGCCTCATGCAAAGCTGGCCATAGGGGTTTGAGAAGCCTTAGATGGTAAAGAAAGCAGAAGCCTGTTTGTGAAGGGATGTTCTCAAAGGCAGCACGCTGTACTTCTGCCCTGACCTTCACTGGCCGTTCAGCAATGTCAATCGTTGGGTCTATCCTGGAGAGTCTTTAAATGAGTTAAGGCTGGGCTAACCTCTGAGATCTGTTCCACTGTTGATTCTGGGAAATGAGATTCATTGAAGATGCTGGAGCTACAAAACTCCCAGGCATAAACATAAGTAAATGTGGTAGCAGGACCTTTTTCGGTGAGGTTTCCTTGAATATTGTTTTTTCATATCACTTTATACTTCATTTCATCAAACTCCTGGACACCTCTTGAGGTGCGCACATCCTCCAGTCCTGTGGAGGATTTTTGCATTGCTCCTCTGTGAAGGGAGTGGGACCAGAGAGAAGTGGCTAGGGAGCTGGAAGTGGGTGTTTGGGTAAACAATCCTGGTCTCAAAATTCTAAGTATGGATGGACTAATAAAAATTGAATAAGTGGTCAGAAGAGTTGAAGGGCAGCTCATAACAAAAAATGTTAGTTGTCCCTTTAGGCTGAGATGAGACAGGATCTTGTAACACCTTTTACTTTCCTTTGATTAATTTTTGGTCAAGCAGTCTGAGGTTCACAGGTACTCATAAGTATATTTTCACAGAAATGATGAGGCAGAGTAAAATTTATTTCTAGAATCAGAACAATTTTTTCCTTTCAAAGGCTTCAACATGTTGCCTTTTTTACCATTTTTAGCTGTAATAATTCTTGACAGGACAGCATAGTTTAGTGACAAAAGCACCTTTGAAGTAAGCTTGAAAGAGGCAACCCTGTAACAATTAATTTCATATTTTATCTACTTTACATGCATATTTTATAAACATTTTTAACCATACTGGATAATTTTTTACGGCAGCACATTGTTGCTGGCTACGCAAATCCATCATATACATTTACATCAAGTTTACACCAGCTTTTGTTTTGGTAGTTACATCATTGTTACATCTTAACTGTGCAGATGGCTTACTAACAAAAAAACAATTCTAGCAAACAGTGCAGGTGTTACAACTTCGAGCAGGGTGGGGAAAGTCACATTTTTCTTTTCCTTTCTAACCAAGTAAGGTCAGTATTGCCCTTTGGGTGACAAGTATTGTCTATCACTATTTGCACAACTTTTGTCAAGCAGTCTTCTCAGGTTTAAATTTTCCCTTCTTGCACTTCTGCAGACTTTTTAAAAATCCCAACCTGAACAGGATCCACAAAAGAAAAAAAAAAAATCGAGAATGTTCCTCAGGAACACTTTTCCCCAGATGGATTAAAATTATCAAATCCAAATGAAAAAAAAAAAAAGTCATTGGTTCAAGTAATCCTGTAACTTCAGTGACTTTGTATCTGGAATGTCTGAGACACATTAGGTATTTATTTTAAAGCTCACAAAGAAAGTGCTGCTAAAATGGAAAGCTGTTAAACGTTAACCCTATTTGACAAGGCCATGGAGAGGTCTTACGAAGCTGCTGTAAGAAAGATGTGGGATTTATTTGGCATACCCTGAATTCCCCCTGTGCAATCCATTGTCCTTTTGTACCACTTTCAGGATAAAATGAGTTCTGGTTGCCCAGAATAGAGGTTTTGTCCCTGTTAACATACATGATGTGATATTCAAGTTGGACAGCATCCAGTGATAGCCTGACTTTCCTCAAATAATTTTAGAAATCCAGAAAAAAGCATAACATGATTCCCTTTTATATCTTCTGACAGGTCTTAGTGCTCAAACTGTTTGAAATTCCTTTGCAGTTAATGCATATTGCTGTAGCAAAACTCCTCTGAAAGCAGATCTAAAGCTACAGATTTTGCTTGCATGGTGCTGTCAGTCAGGAACATGATTTCCATTTCTCTTTTTTTCACCCTCTCACCCTTCTTCCTATATGACTAGGCAGGCAGAAGTCTTAGGGTGGATGCAAGCATACTGGAAAAAAAATCTTGAATACTCAAACTAGATGAAGTTTATACTAGCAAGAGACTAATTAACTAGAATAATTACATAGACTTACAGAATATCTCAAGTTGGAAGGGGACCCGTAAGGATAATAGTCGAACTCCTTGCAGGACTACCTAAAACTAAACCGTATGACTAAGAGCATGTTTCATAGAATCATAAAATGATTTGGGTTGGAAGGGACCTCAAAAAACGTGTTCTCTCCCCCCCCCCCTGCCATGGGCAGGGACCCCCTCCACTACACCAGGTTGCCCAAAGCCTCATCCAACCTGGCCTTGAACACTTCCAGGGATGGGGCATCTACAACTTCTCTGGGCAGCCTGTTCCAGTGCCTCACCACCCTCTGAGTGAAACATTTCTTCCTTATATCTAACCTAAATCTCCCCTCTTTCAGTTTAAAGCCGTTGCCCCTTGTCCTGTCACTACACGCCCTTGTAATAAGTCCCTCTCCAGCTTTCTTGTAGGCCCTCTTTCAGTACTGGAAGGCTGCTAGAAAGTCCCTCTGGAGCCTTCTCTTCTCCAGGCTGAACAACCTCAGCCTGTCTTCATAGCAGAGGTGCTCCAGCCCTTGGATCGTCTTCATGGCCCTCCTCTGGACCTGCTCCAACAGGTCCATGTCCTTTTTATGTTGGGAACCCCAGAGCTGATTGCAGTACTCAGGTAGGGTCTCACAAGAACAGAGTAGAGGGACAGAATCACCTCCCTCGACCTGCTGGCCGCACTTCTTTGGATGCAGCCCAGGACACGGTTGGCTTTCTGGGCTGCCAGCGCACATTGCAGCTCACATTGAGCTTCTCACCCACCAGCACTCCCAAGTCCTTCTCCTCAGGGCTGCTCTCAATCCATTCTCTGCCCAGCCTGTACTTCTGCTTGGCATTGCCCTGACCCATGTGCAAGACTTTGCGCTTGGCATTGCCGTGACCCATGTGCAAGACTTTGCACTTGGCCTTGTTGAACTTCATGAGGTTCTCACAGGCCCACCTCTCCAGCCTGTTGAGGTCCCTCTGGATGGCATCCCTTCCCTCCAGCATGTTGATGGACCACACCACACAGCTTGGTGTTGCAGGCAAACTTGGTGAGGGTGCACTCAATCCCACTGTTCATGTCAACAACAAAGATGTTAAACAGCACTGGTTCCAATACAAGCCCCTGAAGAACACCACTCATCACTGGTCTCCACTTGGATATCAAGCCACTGACTGCAGCTCTCTTGAGTGCACCCATCCAGCCAATTCCTTATCCACTGACTGGTCCATTCATCAAATCCACATCTTTCCAATTTAGAGACAAGGATGTTGTGTGGGACAGTGTCAAATGCTTTGCACAAGTCCAGGTAGATGATGTCAGTTTCTCTTCCCTCATCCACCACCACTGTAAACCCATCATAGAAGGCCACCAAATTTGTCAGGCACAATTTGCCTTTAGTGAAGCCATGTTGGCTGTCACCAATTGCCTGTTTGTTTGGTTTTTTTCCCATGTGCCTTAGCATAGCTGCCAGGAGGATTTGCTTCATGATCTTACCAGGCGCAGAGGTGAGACTGACTGGCCTGTAGTTCCCTGGGTCTTCCTTTTTTTCCCTTTTAAAAAATGGGGACTATGTTTCCCCTTTTCCAGTCAGTGGGAACTTCACCAGACTGCCATGACTTCTCAAATATGATGGATAGCGGCTCAGCAACTTCATCCGCCAGTTCCCTCAGGACCCACAGATGCACCTCATCAGGTCCCATGGACTTGCCCACCTTCATGTTCCTTAGATGGTCTTGAACCTGATCTTCTCCTACAGCAGGCAGTTCTTCATTCTCCCAGTCCCTGCCTTTGCCTTCTGTGACTTGGGTTGTGCAGCTGGAGCACTTGCCAGGGAAGACTGAGGCAAAGAAGTCATTGAGTACCTCAGCCAACCTCAGTTGGTTTGGTTTATATCAGTTCCATGGAAAAATGCTACACTGACCAAATAAAGGTCAGTTAGCTGTAATAGCTGACGTTAGTTCGGGTGTATGATATAAATTATGTTGTGAAAAGGACTAGAGTAGGTATCGCTGTAACAAGGAGTTTACTTTCTGAACATACGAACTGGTAATGTTTTTTCCCTTTCCATAACACCTTTTGTTAGTATTGCAGGGAGATCTCTTAAACTTGCATAGGAAAAAGCCCCCGCTGCACATGGAGAAGTAATAATTCAGGATGGAGAAGCTTTTACCTAATCCAGTAATCGGTGTGTTCTCAGCCTGTTTCCAGTTGCTCACCACAGAGTAGAGACCTTAGACTTAAGCAAGAAAGCTGAGTTGATTATCACATCACAATCATTCCAGCCAGTCTCTCTCCTGCATGTGTTCTCTAGTGTATTCATGGAGCAGAGAAAGTCTGTCCACCAAAAGCCCATCTTCTTTAAAGAGATTTTGAAGAACATGTAATAGCTTTTACTAATAAAGTCATTTGACCTGTCTTTTCTTACTTTTTCTCTACCAGCATTCCAACAGAGGTATAATGGTTCATGCTTATGTATTTTGATATTGATTTATTGTCTTCTGTGCTAACCAATGATTTCATTTTTGTTTCTAGTCTGGAGACAAAGACAGTTCTGCAGGGAGTGGAAGTGAAGATGAGGAGTTTTATGATGCTGATGAAGAGACTCATATGATCAAGTAACGAAAAGAAGAAACACTGACCTATTTTAAGCCTTGTCTTACGGCTGGACTGACTGGACAAGTAAGAAGAGTACTGGGGACCTCATCTGTCAGGGGATGTAACTGGGCAAATGCCTGTGTTTTTCCTGGCTGGGAGAGGGGTTTGAGTATTGTTCAGACTAATGATGCCACTGATGCTCTCCATACGAGACAGAACGACAGTGCACAGACTGCATCTGAAGCCAGGTGAGACAGCAAGGGGGGGATGATGTATTTCTGAAGCCTAGGAAATCACCTAGACTTAAATAGATTTGAACAGATCATCAATACACTTGTTTGTATTTTATTTTCAAGGTGGTTGATTCTGATTCAGTATAAATTTGATAAACTTGAAAACATCCACTGATTTATTTTTTCCTCTGTAGAGTGAAAATGCTCACAGAATGTGCTGTACGCTACTGCAGTGGGAACAAATTCCTGAAATTGTGTGTTAAGATGGCTTTTGTGTACTGAGTAGAGGGAAGGCAACTATGAACATAAGATTTCCCTTTCTGCACACAGACACTTGTATAGAGTTACAGGGTGCAACTAGTTAGTCATGAGCTGTGCATGAACTTAGGGATAATGGAAGACCAGGAGGAAGGACTACTGAAAAGAGTAACCATGAAGACATGCAGGTTACTGCATCCAGTAGCCTACACACATAAAGGACTTTACTGATTTTTTTTTTTTTTTCTATTCCTTCTTTTCATCCACCAAGTATTTTCTTGGGCTGTCTTGTGCATATGTTTGCCACATGTTCCTCACATCTCAGCACTGCTGTTAATAGCTTTGCCTGCTTTTACCTTGTCCTCACTTTGCCATAAATATTGAAGCTCAGCAACTTCTCCGTGCAGTGAAATAATTCTGTGAAGGATATGGTTTCATGAGTGGGACACAGGTGAGGTATTTATCACGTACGGTGTAATGTGAGATGTATGTTAGAATATATAGCTCATTTTTTGTGGACCTATCTCTGTCTTTATTTCTGGGAGGAACTTAACTCTGAAGTGATAAGAGGAACTATGGGTTGCTGTTCCATTTTGGGGATTACTGCCGGGAAGTCGCTAGTATTTATTTAAAATTCTTGTGTGTAGATAAAAGTTCTTATGGGAGGGGGAGGGGACATGACCAAAAAAACCCAAAAAAACACCAACACAAAGGGCAAACCTCTTTGAGACAGCATTTGGTTACTTGACATTGTTTCTTAAACAGGTGCTTGCTCAAGCACTTGGTTACTTGACCTTGTTGAGGAAGATAATTTCACTCTCCTGTTTACACTGAACTTTCTGTAAGCGCTTCATTAGAAGGATATGGAATCTTGAAATATGAAACATGAACAATGCTGAAAACACAAAGATGAGACCTTACAAGGATTCGGTTTTCTAGATTACATTGTCATCTTCATCCTCTAACCTGTGGCTTTCTATTTGATTTCCATAAAATGTTTGTTAGTCTTTATACTTGCTGCCTCTGTCCCTCTTTGGTCAGTAGGTGGAGTAAGTCACCTGAGTGGCAGACAGGAAAACTGTTAGTCTTCCTCCCTCCAGTTTTACTGTCATTAGCTGCTACTGACAGCCCTGGTCATGCCACGCGACACCACAACCTAACTTTCGTTAGAACAGTAGGATGCTGTTCAGGTGGAGGAGATCACTCTTTGCAGGACCTGAGCAGGATTTTGTGGCGGTCCTCAACTCACAGTTAAACTTACCCCTCCACTCATGCACTTTCATATCATAAGTATATGTATGTAAAATTGCAAAAACAAAGTGAAGAAAACATCAGATTTTTTTTTTCCATAAGGGTTATTGCTCTTTTTTAACCTTGAATCTGTCCCGTGTTTGCACCTATGGAATTTTAAAGGGCAGCGTCTTTTCTGTGTCAACCATAGGAAGTCTCTGTTGTTACTTTCCCTGGCCAGTTAATTCAGAAGCTTTATAGGAGAGAACCCCTCCAGGAGAAGCTCAACAATGTAGTATCAGGCTTCTTACAATTACTTGTTCTCCCCCTTTGTGTTCTGAAGTCCAAATCCATTAGGTGCATTTAGTTTCTTTTCTGAGAGGTTTGTTTTACAAGAACGGGCGTTCTGGTACAGAAACTTGTAGGATCATTTTTGTTCTTACCCACAGAGCATAATGCTTTAAAATATCGAGGTGCTTGTGCTACATGTAGCGTTCACTGGGGAGAGATGCTGCACGGTGTGTTGTAGCCTATGTGGTCAGCATTTTCTGGGAGCATTATTGCTGAGCAGAAGTTCTTCAGTTGGACAGTGCCTGCTGTTACGGGTCTCACAACCGTGTTTCTCGAAAGCCCAAGTCAGAAGGTCAGAGAGAACGTGTGACTTTGAAGTTATGTGTAAGCAGTCTGCAGAGGCCCAATTAATAAATTGCGGTGTTTGGGCAGTACGTTTGCCCTGGGGAGCTACTGGAAAGCGGAGGCTGATGCAGCGTTAGATAAATCACAGTTTATGACATACTGTAATGCTAAAAGTCTGAGACCCAAGATCCTTGCTGTAGTTGAATGAAGTATGACAACCTTATCCCACTTTTTTTGCTAGGAGAGCTTTGTATGCTAAGGAACCTGCACTGTTAACTGTTTTTTGTGTTGTGCAGGCACTAGGATACCTACCCCCAAGATGGAATTCCTTCCCTGGATTCCTTTGGGTTTTTAGCTGTCATTTTTTTCAGCCAGCTCACTTAGTGGGATTATGCTAGAGATGAGAGAGGCTTTCCCATGGTGCTGATTAGTCAGATCTTAATACCGTCTCAGGTGAAGCGTGTTTGGGATTCTGCTATCTGAAGACCTCACAAGTGATACTTGAAGACAGCTAGGAGTGAAGGAGAGTGATAGGTCATGAGACAGCACAGAAGAGAATTAGCTAGAGGGAGTCAAAAGAATGGAGGGTTCAAGAGAAACATTTTAGGGCAAGGGCAAGTGAAAAGAGAAGATAGTAGCCATTGGGTGGAAACACCCTTCTTGCTGCTTGTGTTGACTTGAAGCTTCTTTCAGAACTAGTGTTGGTTCCACAAGATCCTGTTAGGGACATCAGTTTCATAATTTCCTTTTTAATGTCAGCTTTGTTCAGCACTACTGCATTAGTGATGAAACATTTCTTTTGATCAATATAAAATGTGGCATGGTTCAGTTTTCTTTTGACTCAGCTTTTCTATGAAATAGCATATCCTTAAAATCATTAAAATTTGTAAAGCCCTGTAATGGAGAACACTATAACTGGCCATTGCTTAGTTTGCAAGCTTCCCTTTAGAAAGTTAGGAAGATTAGATTTATTTGATGCATTTTTGTTGCATAACTTCTTGTGAAGTGATACTCCAGCCTTGTGAAAAGGATTTTACTACCCGGCTGTTTTTGACAGACTGAAAAGCATAGAATAGGGAAGCAATTTGACGAGTTTATTTTTTTAAACTACTTCCCTGGAAAACAAAGCTAGTGCTCTCCTTTTAGGGATTGGGAAAGTGCTCTTCAGAGACTCCCTCACACACCAGAAACTTAGAAGCTCTGTGTTAAAGGAAGGCCACAGGTGACTCAGTGTTCAGGTCAGGGTGCTGAGTGAAGAACGTGTCCACACCTCTCCAGAGACACCTAGTTAAACTGGAGCAGGTTGTAGCGAGTTGCCACCTTTGTTACCGGTCGAGCCTTTAAGGATTGCAGCCACGTGCCCGTCTGTTTACAGTGCACAATCCGTGGCAGGGTTTCCAGACTGTATGGATGTACGGAGGTTAGCAGAATATCCTTTGCAGAACCACGGGGAATGTAGCTGAAGGACCATGTGCTATGTATACCTTTCCCCACCCTGTTAGAACTTCATCGATGGTGCTTTTTGACAAAGCTGAATCACGGAATGGTTTGGGTTGGAAGGGACTTCAAGGGTCATCTAGTTCCAACCCCCCTGCCATGGGCAGGGACACCCTCCACTACACCTGTGCTGGCAAGTTGTGAGCCTTGCAGTAACTATGTCAGAAAAGCACAAGAGCCGTGATGTCATTTGGGGGAAGCTGGTCTGGCCTGACACACGTAACACCTGTGTCAGAAATGTCTATATTCAGCTGTTTACCAGACAGGAGACTTGGTTATAGCTGCATTTTGAGTCCTAATGCTTGTACCTTACTACAAGATGTGTTAAGTGGAAGAAAAATATCTATGTAAGAGAACCTCTGTGACAGATCTAAATGTAGAATTGGAGGGTGAACAAATTTATACAGAATTTTTCCGTGCTATTTATTTCTATTGCATTGTCCAGTCTATTGTAGCCTTCAGATTTTTCAGGTGCTACTACTATTTGAGTCTAAGAGCTGGGTAAAACTTTCACTCTGGCAGTTGAATTTACTGAACTTTTTCGTCTTATTTTTGGTACTACTGGCTGTTTCTGTCATTCTGAAAAAAGCTCTTGTATTGCCTAACAGGAGCAGGTTTTTCTGTTCTAATTTGAAGTGCCTGTTTTATAAGTCTTCTTTAGTTTCCTCAGTCAACTCGATATGGGACTGTGTGTAAAGTAACATCATAGAATTGGGTTATATACATGCCAAAGACAGTTTTTGCTGGAAAGCAATGATCCAAAACTAGTTCTTGCTGCATTTGTTTGGAATTCTTCCATGCAACCTGTTAAAACTGGTATTTACAAGCATCCCTAGAGCTTTAAGGAACAGAGTTAGTTACCTTTGTTTGCTTCTCTTTCATTGCTCAATTCACTTAAGTAGCTTTTCTTTCTGAGAAACCAAAGAAATTAAATGAAGGATTTAAGACAAAGTGCAGGTTTTGTAGAACAAGCAGAATTTACACCATGTAGCTGTTATAGAGCCTGTTTGCTTCTGAGTTGCAAATGTCAAAGCTCACTGATAAAAGACTGGTAAAACCTGGTTAAAAACTGCACATTGGCATTTAGTTCATTCATCAGCCTTACAAATTAACATGGCTAAAACAAAAGCTTGCCTGGAACTTCATAGGATATAGCAGATTTCTATAAAA